ATTTGAGTGTCCCAAGAGTATGGGTGGCTGGTGGGAAGCACCAAAAACGGTGTCCCAAGGATTTGGGAGGGCTGGGATGGGCAGGGGGGGGGTGTCCCAAGGGTTTAGGTATCCCAAGGGTTTGGGGTGTCCCAAGGATTTGGGTGTCCCAAGGGCGTGGGTGGCTGATGGGAAGCGCCACAGGGGGTGTCCCAAGGGTTTGGGCATCCCAAGGGTTTGGATGTCCCAAGGATTTGGGTGTCCCAAGGGTGTGGGTGGCTGGTGGGAAGCACCCAAGGGGGTGTCCCAAGGGTTTGAGTGTCCCAAAGGTTTGGGTGGCTTGTGGGAAGCACCACAGAGGGTGTCCCAAGGCTTTGGGTGTCCCAAGGGTTTGAGTGTCCCAAGGGTTTGGGTGTCCCAAGGGTGTGAGTGGCTCATGGGGAGCTCCAAAGGAGGTGCCCCAAGGGTTTGAGTGACTGGTGGGAAGCACCACAGGGGGGTTGGAAGCCCCAGAGCTGCTCTGGGCCCGGGTTTGTGGCTCTGGGGCTTTGAAGGGATTAAAGATAAGCAGAGTCTGCTCCCTTTTCCAGACTCTGCCGGGCTGACACTCGACAGAAACCACCCCCAGACCTCCAACTCGGACAGTTCCTGCCAGTCCAGGGCCGGATTCCTGACATTTCGGGGATGCCAGAGCGGGGTTTACACAAGACCAGGCGGTGCAAGGCGGGGAGGGGGTGCAGGGCAGCTCAGAGCGGGGCAGGGCAGCTCGGGGGAGGTGGGGAAGGGCAGCTCAGAGCAGGGCAGGGCAGCACAGGCACAGCCGGCGGGCTCTGCTTTACCAACTCTGCTTTCCCAGCTCTGCTTTCCCAGCTCTGCTTTACTGGGCTCTGCTTTACTGGGCTCTGCTTTCCCAGCTCTGCTTTCCCAGTCTCTGTTTTACCAGTTTCTGCTTTCCCAGCTCTGCTTTCCCAGCTCTGCTTCACCAGCTCTGCTTTCCCAGTCTCTGCTTTCCCAGTCTCTGCTTTCCCAGTCTCTGCTTTCCCAGCTCTGCCCTGCTGGGACAACTTTCCCCCTCCCCGAATTTGGGGCTGGGCTGGGGGTGTGTGTGCAGATTTTTAAACCCTGCACCCCCATTTGGGCAGCCCCAGCTCCAGGAAGGGGCACAACAAAGCTGAGCTGGGCAGGGCAGAGCCCTTTTCTGAGGGCAAAGCCAGCAGGGCTTCGATAAACCCAGGAACAAGAGGGGTTGGAGTGCAGAAGGAGAGGTTCCCCTTCCAGCTGGGGGATGGACCCCATGGCCCCCTTCCAGTTTGGGCCCGGACCCCCAGTTCCCTCTTCCAGTTGAGGGACACACCCCAGTTTCCTTTTCCAGCTGAGGGACAGACCCCCAGGTCCCTTTTCCAGGTGAGGGACAGACCCTGGTCCCTTTTCCAGCTGAGGGACAGACCCCTGGTCCGTTTTCCAATTGGGGGACAGACCCCTGGTCCCTTTTCCAGTTGAGAGACAGACCCCTGGTCCGTTTTCCAATTGGGGGACAGACCCCTGGTCCCTTTTCCAGTTGAGAGACAGACCCCAGGTCCCTTTCCCAGTTAAGGGACACACCCCAGTTCCCTTTTCCAGCTCAGGGCCAGACCCCCAGGTCCCTTTTCCAGTTGAGGGACACACCTCAGTTCCCTTTTCCAGTTGAGGGACACACCTCATTTCCCTTTTCCAGCTGGGGGACAGACCCCAGGTCCCTTTTCCACTTGGGGAACAGACCTCTGGTCCCTTTCCCAGGTGAGGGACAGACCCCTAGTCCCTTTTCCAGTTGGGGGACTGACCCCTGGTCCCTTTTCCAGTTCAGGGACAGACCCCAGGTCCCTTTTCCAGTTGGGGGACAGACCCCTGGTCCCTTTTCCAGTTGAGGGACACACCCCAGTTCCCTTTTCCAGATGGGGGCCAGACCCCTGGTCCCTTTTCTAGTTGGAGGTCAGACCCCTGATCCCTTTTCCAGTTTCAGGGCCAGATCCTCAGGTCCCTTTTCCAGCTGGGGGACACACCCCAGGACCCTCCACCGATTTGGGGACAGACCAAATCCCACCACGTCCTTAAGAATTTATCCCACCCCATCCTTCAGGATTGATCCCGAGCCTGTTTATGATTTCCCAGCTGGGTTAAGCAGATTTTGGGTCCTACCTCGTGCTCAGCAGCACCCCCAGAGCTCTAAAAGCAGATTTTGGGTGCTCAACAGCACCCCCAGAGCTCTGGGCAGATTTTGGGTCCCCCCTGGTGCTCAGCAGCTCCCCCAGAGCTCTGGGCAGATTTTGGGTCCCCTCTTGTGCAGATTTTGGATCCCATCTGGTCTTTCAGGAGCTCCTCCAGAGCTCTGAGCAGATTTTGGGTCTCCCCTGATGCAGATTTTGGGTCCCCCCTGGTGCTCAGCAGCACCCCCAGAGCTCCAAAAGCAGATTTTTGGGTGCTCAGCAGCTCCCCCAGAGCTCTGAGCAGATTTTGGGTCCCATCTGGTGTTTCAGGAGCTCCCTCAGAGCTCTGAGCACATTTTGGGTGCTCAGCAGCTCCCCCAAAGCTCTGAGTGGATTTTTGGGTCCCATTTGGTGCTCAGCAGCTCCCCCAGAGCTCTGGGCAGATTTTGGGTCCCACCTGCGCCCCCCAGAGCCCCGATCCCACCCCCCCTAAGCCCTCACCTTGTCGATGAAGGAGGCGAACTTGTTGTTGAGGGTCTTGATCTGCTCCTTCTCCTCCTTTCGCACCCTCTGGATGTTGGGGTCGATCTCCAGGTTGAGGGGGGTCAGCAGGCTCTGGTTCACCGTCACCTCCTGGATGCCGCCGGGGCTCAGGGCCCCCAATCCCGCGCTCCCGAAGCCGTATCCCGAGCGGACGCTGTAGGAGCCGCTCCCTCCCATGGAGACCCTCTTGGCCGAGCCCAGGCTGTAGAGGCTGGAGCTGCCGAAGCCGCCGGCGCGGCCGAGCCCGGAGCCGCTGAGCCCGCGGGTGGAGGACACGGAGCTCACCCGGACCTGGGTGACGGCCGGGCCGGCGGCCGAGCGGGAGCTGAAGCTCACGGAGCGGGACATGGCTGGCTCCAGAGGGTTATTCCCGAATCCCACGCCTTGGCCGAAAGCTCGGGGAGAAGCCGCGCAGGGCAGTGAGCTCCGTGTCCCTCCCGCCGCCCCTTTTATCGGCCGGGGGAAGCTGGGCTTGGCCCCGGGGCGACAGCGGGATCGTTTTACTGCCCGCCGAGCTGGGTGTGCCTGGCTGCCTTCCCACCCCTCCGAGCAGGGAAGGGCCGCGGGGAAGGGACAGGGACACACCTGGCGCCCTGTCCCCGCTCGGGGCCTCACCTGGGCACAGGTGGGACGTGGGTGGCACGGGGGGGGGAACGTGGGTGGCACAGATGGGACGTGGATGGCACAGATGGGACGTGATCCCTGAGCTCCCCTGGGCTCCTCTGGGCTCCTCTGGGCTTCTCTGGCCCCTCCAGGCTCCTCTGAGCTCCTCTGAGCCCCTCTGGGCTCCCCTGGACTCCTCTGGGTTTCTCTGAGCCCCTCTGAGCTCTTCTGAGCCCTCTGAGCCCCTCTGGGCTTCTCTGGACTCCTCTGGGTTTCTCTGAGCTCCTCTGGGCTCCTCTGAGCTCCTCTGAGCTCCTCTGGGCTCCTCTGAGCCCCTCTGGATTCCTCTGAGCTCCTCTGGGCTTCTCTGAGCTCCTCTGATCTCCTCTGGCCCCTCCAGGCCCCTCTGAGCTCCTCTGGGCTCCTCCAGCCCCTTGAGGCTCTTTGGGCTCCCCAGGCCCAGAGTTCCCCCAGCAGAGCCCCCCCACCCATTCCCCAAGGATTCTCCGTGTCTCCTGGTGCCCACCCGGCCATTGGAATGCCCAGGGGGGGAACGCAGGGAATACATCTGGAATGCCCGGGGGGGAACTCAGGGAATATATCTGGAATGTCCTGGGGGGAAGGCAGGGAATACATCTGGAATGCCCAGGGGGAAAATGCAGGGAATACATCTGGAATGCCTGGAGGGGGAACACCAATCGATTTTTCCCCTCTGCCAGAGGGTTCTCACGGGCCCGGAGCTGATAAAGGGGCCTCAGCGCCGGGCCCAGCCTGGTTTAATATCAACCAAGCCCGGCCTGGGCGCTCTGCAGGCCCTGCCAGCAGCACCCAGAGGGTGCCCTCGCAAGGAGGGGACGTGGTTTTCCCTTTGCTCTCCCGTTAATCCTTCAGACAGACCCTAAAAATGGAGGTGGGTGAAGTGGGAGCACAGGGCAACCCCCAGCATTTCGTCCACTTTGCTCCAAGGGAGGCAGGATTAAATCCTGGCTGGAATTTCTGGGCTCCTCCTCGGACGTGGGGGTTCTCTGAGGGAAAAAAAAACGAGCTCTGTGGGCGTTGTCCACTTTCAAAGAGGCTCAGGGGGCCCAGAGCTCGTCGCTATCGGGTCATAAATTCCCGGGGAGATTTCCAAGCCTGCCCTGGATGTGTCATCATCCTGCAGCTCTCCCCCGTCAGCAGGGCAGGGAGATAAGGCTGGCTCCAAACTCTGCCTCCAGGCTGGCTCCAAACTCTGCCTCCAGACTGGCTCCAAACTCTGCCTCCAG